CTGCAGTTTCATTATTGCCAGTTATTTAATTTTTAATTCATTTTGATTTTCATCTCACAAGATGTCTTTTCTCTCTGTGCCTTGGTCTTTGAGGAAAAGTTTAGCCTCAGTGAGAGGGGCAGTACTGGTAATAGGTGGAGAACTTTCTTCTTTTCTATTGAATGAATGATGCAGCACACTCTTAACAACTATATTGCTACATCTGTAGGCTTGTAGTTTGCCTGAAATCCACTTATTTTTCTAATCAAGCATGCCACTCTCTTCCTTTCTGCCTTCTTCCTTCCTGGCGTCCTCCCATTTTCCTACCCTTTGTCATAAGCTTTTCATTCCTCTTGTCCCATCATGGATTTTTGCTGGAGGCTGTACAACATGGGAATAACAAGGCTGATTAAACAGATTAGGTCTGCCATTAGATGCCATGGATTTCAGTGCCTCTGTTATCCTCTAGTGTTCCCTCTAATGGTTGGACTAGGTGATGTTCAAGGTCTTTTCCAACTTAGATGATTCTGTGATTCTTTTCCACTCAGATAAACATGAATCTGCTCATCAGAGCATTACTGGAGAGTTGGATTGATTGGAGGTGGCCTGCAAAATCTATTGCAAGTAAGGCTGACAAGCTTTGAAAAAAATGTCTTCAAGCTAAATATTTAGCCTTACTTACCTCTATATGTAAAGATATTTATTTCACAAAGAGCAACATGATTACTTGCAGATGTGATTTAAAAGTGATCTAAGAATTTAAGACTATGTAAGGTGTTGCAAATACCCTTATAGTTTTGCCTATACAAATACACAGCTAAGTCAAATTATGGAAACCTAACGTTTTGTTCCATAGGAAATTTAAATATTTCAGTAACAAAAATTAAAATTATCTCAAGTGGAGCTGGAAGAGGAAATTTTCCTTTAGAATGATGGTGTTAAAATTTTGCTTAGAAAAAGATCAAAATTATTTTTTTTCATGATGACAATTTTTTAGTAGTTTCCAATGTTTCCAAAATTGAAGCTGTCCAAATATAAGCCATCTAAGTTCTATTCAATAACAGTTTGTCTGGTGAACTGCCAGGGGACTTTGAATGCTTTTGATCTGCAGCTGAGGTAGTTATTTTGGTGTGCTATGCCGGCATAAGGAAAGTTATCAACTTCCTATTTCTTCATCTAAGAAAAAAATCCCCCAAAAAACCCAAACAAAAATTGAAACGAGTTTTTATCAAAGGCAGAAGGAAAAATCTTTTTCACTTTTCTTAAGCTGTTTTAATGGGTGTGCTAGTTTTTGTTTAGCACGCATCTATATGCAGATGGAAAGGTCCAACATCACTGATGTGACAGTATTTTACCCCATGGGTTTCTGCTTCTTACATTTATTGATATATTGGTGGAATTCCGAAGGCAGAGGAAAGGCACAAAAAGGTCACAAAACTGCAAGCCAAGGTAAACAGCCTGTCAGGGTATGTTTAGCAAATGACAGTGTACCGCAGAAAAAATACAGAAAGGAGAGGAAAACCTATTCCCCTGGAAAATACATTTCCTGGTTGGAAAGGCATTGAAGTTTAGAGTTGCTTCTGTTGCTTCCTTGCTCTTTTCCAATGAATTGTCTTTGTTCAGCCTGCTAATTCAATCCATAGTCCCGGGCATTTTAGGCCATGGGGAGGAGGAATACATGTTCTGCAGCAGGTATAACGGAAGGCATTGTGGGCATCATGACTAAAGGCAAAAACATCTTTCATCCCCGGAAAGGAAATTGGACTACCTCTTTGTCATAAATTTTACTTAAGTAGTATTTGAATAAAGTATTGAACGTAGATACACCATCAGAGCATTTCTTTAGTCTTTGTCAAAGGGGGTTGTATTTTCTCCTTTTTACACTGCACAGAAAAGAAAGATTCTTTGTTTGGTTCATTGTGCAGTTTAACATTTTTTATTGCATTGCAGATGGAAAACAGCTTCTCAGTTCTTGGTTATTTATCCTAGTTTTCTTGCATTTCAAGTACAAGCTTCTCTTGAAGAGGAAATAATTTTGGAGGGTTGTGCTATTGTCCCTGCTGCTTTTCAGCCCTGTGACATGAAGATGCAGAATTATGTAGCACAATCTTGTAAATGCCTAAAGTATCTGAACCACTTTTGTTTTGTTACTTTTCACAGCAAGTTCAGACTTCAGTCCAGATGCAAGGAATTTTAGTTGCACAGAAGATTCTTTCGGCCGGCTCTTGCAGCACATTCAGCCTAGATAACTGACAGGAATAAAGTTACTCACTAAAGTTGTCATTATGTACGGGAAACATGTGAAGGATGCTTTTCTGTTGATGTAGACAAAATTTCTAAAGATTCTACTTGCTGATGGTGAAATATCTATGTTGTGCAGTGAGCTACACCTACATATGTGTTCAACAGCAAGAAACCAATATTTCCTCTATTTGCTTATGAAAACAGAAATCTACAGCACCCGACTTGTTTGATGAATATAAAAGAATGAGTAATCGTTATAAACCATGCCACATGTACTGTACCATGTTGAAATGAGAAAGTTACATTCAATTGACTTATAAAATAGTTTTAATAAATCCTTTAAGTAGTGATAATAGTAATTGTGCACACTGCAATGCAGTACAAGCAAGTGCTGTATATTGATTAGACTGCTACCAGATTCATCACTTGGAGACAAGGGGATTTCTGATTATCAGAATGGTATTAGTGTGGGGGAAGGATAATTGAGAAACCTCTCAATCAAGGTAACATTGATAACACGCAGAAAAATCAGAAAAATGACAGCATGTTTACAAATATCACATATAAAGATCAAAGAGGCAAGAATTGAATACAGAAGAAACACCCCAATAAACAGAATTATTTGGATCTGCCATGTACATCAGAAAGCTGAATTTTATTTGGGTTTTTCAGCATAATTATTTCCCTCCATTTTACCGCTCAACTTAATGGACTGAATTAACATATATTTTAAGGGTCTAGGATTTAAACTACGGAATTTGAGTTTCTCTTTACTTCAGGGCTTCCTGGAGACCAAAAGGTGCAGTAGAAGGTACTCTGAAAGTTATGTAGAAGCACTAACACCTATACTATGCCTGACCCTCCAGACATCTTAAGCCTAAGTCAGTAAATGTAATGATTCTTATTCACTCTTTACAAATCAGAAAAGTAGATAATTATTTTCATATTCTTAATTAAAAAACCCAAAATAGTTATCTTTACAAACTTTATAAACTGATCTTAAAAAAAACTTCAGAATCTTTTCTGAAAAAGATTCAGAATCAATTTGATAAATGTGTTGAGCCCTGAAGTCTTAGTACAATTAATGTACACGTTGCCTTTGTAATGAGTTGTATACCTGCTCATAAAGTAAAAACACTGGTGGATCAGTTAAAGGAATTAGTGGTTGGGGAGGGGGGGGAAAGATGGTGATAAAGTAATTAGTATGTAAGTTCAACAAAGATTTAAACCTGTGGTACATGGCAGTAATGGATTTTGAACACAGTTAATGAGCGTATTCATTGCATTCATTTTTAATTAAGTGGAAAAAAATACTGGTCCTTTAAATGGAGATAATAAATGTGCAAGTCAGTCTTGCACAAACATGCAACACAAGAATTTATTGCCCGCTGTCTAACTAGGGAACTGGGAATCATTATAAAGATTAGCTTTACTGAAAAAAAAATCTAGAAAAAGCTTTAGTAGAAAATTTTTATGAGGTAATAATTTTCACATTAAATACTGCTTGGCATGTTTGGTAGAGTGTGTGTGCGTGTTTTTTAAAATATGGGTATTTGCTATCATCAGAAGTAGAGCTGTTTATACCCTTGGAAAGGATTCAGTCTATTTACCAATTTAGATTTGCATGAGATGTACTTAATATATGACTACACGTGTAACGGAACATTAAAAATATCAGAAACTTTGAAACTTTCTCAGGGGTGTGTTATGCTTGTGCTTAGTATACAAATTGTGGTTTAAAAGTAAAACTGACTCAGAAAGCTGCAGCTGTGAACTTCCAAATGCTTGCTGTGCTTTAACTGACACACTCTCACCTTCCCAAAGCACTGGGCTGTGCTGGGGCTGGGAGGGTTTCAAACTGCAGCAGGGGAAATCCAGCTGAAATGCTTAGTGTTTATTCTGTCAATAGGCAGCCAGGGAGCTGACATGAAACAGGTTAAAACACTGAAACCAGACGTACCTTCTAGAGCAGTGGCTTTCAATGTTTTTATGACTTGGGAACCCCCTAAACATTTCCAGTGGAAGCAAGGACCTTGTGGGGCATGGTGAAGCTTATTGATGACAATTGACTGGCATTTCTTAGTTACCTTTCATGGATCTATTTGAGGTTGTTCACAGATCCCCAGGGATACCCAGACCACATGTTAAAAACCAGTGAAACTAAATCAAACTCAATATGTTTCATTCTCTCAAAGCTCCCAACCTGTGTATCTCTTGTTCATATTACCAAAATACCAGTTTCTGTCTGACAAACAGTATGTCTAGGTCTTTGCTCAACAAATGTCTCGTTGGGATATGCATAAACTCTAAATGCACTTCCAAGTTTCCCTATGTCACCTGAACCTTCAGGAGCTTATTCACCACCAGTATTTCAAGAGGGCAAGTTTTCCCCACCAGAAAGCCCCTGAACATTCACTGGTGACATGCAGTATACTGCTGGTGATACCGCAGTATGAATTACTGTGCCATGCTTAGGCAATTTCAGTCATTTTTCTTTGACTTTATTGTGCCCTGACCCACATGTTGTAATTGCTTTCCGTAAAAGGAGCAAACAGAACCATACTCCTGGGTCTTTTCAAAAAGCTAACTCTGCTTTTATTTTTTTAACCTCACTGCCTGATTTTATTATGTATTTAAGCCAGTAGCAACTTGGAAAAAAAAAAAAAAAAAAAAAAAAAAAAAGAAATTGCAAACTGCTGACTCAATTTATTGATTAAAGCAAGAAGTTTTTAGAAATGTTATCAGTAAATAAACATTTTATTTTCTTTTCTGTTCAGGTATGACTTTGTAGAAGTGGAAGAGCCTAGTGATGGCACTGTTTTAGGGCGCTGGTGTGGTTCCAGTAGTGTGCCCAGCAGACAAATCTCCAAAGGAAACCAAATCAGAATAAGATTTGTGTCTGATGAATATTTTCCTTCTGAACCTGGATTCTGCATCCATTATACACTTCTTATGCCAGTAAGTAACATGTTTCAGATTGGAGCATTTCAGGAAGACAAAATCTTTGAAGTGGTAGCTCAAAATAATCTTTTAATAGTTTAGGATTAATTACAGTTTATTTCCTAATAATAATAATGATAAGCAATCTGTCTTCCTGAATTGTACATTTTATTTCTGTTTTTTAACTAACTGAGTGTTCTTGTGGTTCTTCTTGGATGGCTTTGGACTGGGAAGTTGTGGGCTCAGTTGTTTGTGTGGAAACTTCAATAAAATGTTTGCGTTCCTAATACAGTACAATGGCAAACCCCCTTTTTTTTCTAGTTTTGAAAAGAAAAATCAGCATAAGAATCAGCTGAGTGGCATTGAAAGATTATTGAGAAGTTACAAAGATTGAAGAAATTATTTTTTTTAATAGTCTGCTGCTATTAGACATACACAGCCAAATTATTATACCTAGTTCAAAACCAGAAATGTTCTTACGCATCTTGATTGGTTTATTATTGTGACAAAGCAGACAATGCATAGTACTCATTTTCCACTACGTTTTCCCTGGAAACTGTACTTTAGACACCTCTCAGGTGTTTTTTAATGGTTGTAAATCGTAAATATTAAACAATAGTCATTGTCTAAAATGTGACTATTTTCACTGTCAACAGATTTCTGTTAACCTTTTTTCATAAATTGAAATATCTGTGATAGCAAAACAGTGTTTATAGATTTTTAAGGATGAGATGTTCTGAAAAATTAGAGTGGAGCAGAACAAGGGTTGACTTGGTTTAGAATAGGTATTCCTTATTAAAGAGGGTAAGGAATATTTTTGTTAAATTCCTCATAATTCATGAATCTCTGAAGTCGTTCTGTGGTCTGTGGTATTTTGTTGGTGGAAAATATCTGCAAGCTCAATAAAAACTTGATCAAAAGAATCCATGTTGTAACCCCACTGACACGCACTTCACTCAAAATGCATTTGGCTTGCTTATTGCTGTTGCCAATTTTGCCTCTTTTCCCCATTTGCAAAACTTCAGTTACTGAAAAGCAAAGAACAATTCCACATGTCTTTTCAACAATACATAATCTTCTACACAATACTTTAGCATACTGGTGATGATGTCAGTGAAGTGTAGTACTGTGTGTGTACACATATGTATGTTATTTTCTGTAGTTTTTCTGTAAGTATTTTTAAATATTTAGGCCTTACTAAGAACTATTCCTAAAGCAATTAAAAGTTTGATCTGCATATTTGACTCTTTTGTGAGTTAGGCCCTTTTGTTAGTACAGTAGTATGGACCTGATAACGATGAATTTTGAAATTAAATAAAATGTCAAATCAGTCTCAAACCAACTTGAAATATGACCAGGTTTAAACTTTTGTACACCTGAAGGAAGAATGTAGTAAGTATGCTTACTTTTAGAAAATGGTAAAAGAAAATCCCTAAATAGATGTATTTGTGAGCTCATGCCAAATTTCGTTGCTGCAGCTCTAGTATTGCATCCTACCTGCTACATATCTACCTGACTTATGTATGATCCAATTTCTATGGAATGGATTAAACAAAGGCACCTAAAAATATCAGAGTGTATGTATAATTATGCCATGCTTTACAAACGGACTGATTTTATTCCCTGGCATTTGATGGGGAAAAGTGGTTATAAATTTCTTATCAACACTTGAAAAACAACTCTCTGATCTTCAAAATATTTACATCACTTATTCAATAGACAAAACCAGAGTTGACGTCATAGGATGAATTTTTAGTTCCCTGTTTTTCTCCATTAACAAAGCTCATATAGCATAAGAAGTACACATACAAAATGTTTTAGAAACCAAATATGTTATCTTGCATAGGGAACAGGCAAGATCAGCCCCCTTCATGTCACAGAAATTCAGAACTAGCTCCAGAATGTGCAGTATAACAACTGCTCGTTGGTTTGTGAGTATTAATTTTCAAACCTCTCTTTAAAAGGGCTGTGACCTTTTTAATCAAAAATTATGTCTTAATAAGCCATGCAAAATAAAATTTCACATTACAGACTGCAGACTGTAAATGAAATCTATATTGCTGAGTTTCAGCGTTAGACCTGTTTCTTGTACCTAAAGCAGTTGAAAACTGATTAAAAAAAAAAAAAAAAAATTCTGTAATGCTATCTCACACAACATTTCAAAAGAAAGAAAAATTTACAGCCTCCCCTCCCGCCTCTCCACAAAAAAAAGATGTCAGCTATAGGAATGGGTGTAAATTTTAAATAATTCTTGCAGAAACATAACTGATTCACTTAGTGATTCACTTCAATGAATTGGTCCTAAACAGTTAATTTTTTTTTTTTCCTAATTTTTTGACAAGAGGGGGAGGGGGAGATGCCTGGTAGACTAGCAATGAGAGATTGTTTGGGGAGAAATGAAGCAAAACTGAAATAAAACAGTGCAAGCTTGTTTCTGTATTTGGAGGCCACACACAGAGAGGGGGACTGGACACATTTTCAGGTCTTCTAAAGAGCAAGAGAAATGGCTTTGTTTAAATCTGCTGTAATTTATCGTGTATATATATATATATTTATTTTTTTACTTTGTATATTATATTTCAAACCAACTTTTCACATGATGAATAAGTCAGGGGAGAATGGCTATTGATCTGATTACTTCTAAGATCTAGTCACTCAGAAGGACTCATAGCAGTTCCAATGTCGATAGATGCAAAATAATTTTTTAGAAAGGTTTACCATGGAATTGTAAGGCACTGTATAAAAGCAGTGCACGTATGGTGTACAAGCAGAATACTCCATGAGAAAAACATGAAGCTTTTCATCAGATTCTAGCTAATTACAGTTTAAGGATTTTAATTTCTTCCATTTTAAATTGTGTACCCTGGATACATCCAGAACATTCTTTAATTCTGGTATAACCCCACCTTCCTTTCCTCTGTTGTATAGTTGCAAGTTAATTTTGTCTGCAATATGATAAAGTGAAAGGAAGTGTTGAGAAATCTTATTCTTACTAAGGAAATGTAGTTTGTGTTATTTCAAAATTATTATGCTATTTTCAGCACAGCTGTTATTCTTAGTCACTCTTTTCATGCTCTGCCCTGTCACTTAGTCTGTGCTTACTGGTGAGCTGCTTTATTCACTAAGGGCTGCTTAGCGGTTGTTCTGCATTTTGACTGTTCAGCTATGCATTTATTAAAAGTCCTGGTTTTGGCAGCACTATACCACCTAAACCCTTCTAGAACTTTAGTGCAAAACCAATCCATATTTCATTTCTTTTCCCCTTCTTCTCACTTGCCCCCAGTTACAGCTCTAATCCATATAGTACCCACATGCAATTGAGGGAAACCTTATAAACACTTATAATATATGTTTGGGCTTCAGTCTTCCTAGTGACTTGCTTAGTTTAAATTATGTCAGTTACAAGTTTGGCAGAGAAAACTTGATGTAATAAAGTCCATTGTTACTTGGGGAGTGGGTGAATGGGATACTTGATGCCTGAGGTGCCATTAAGGAATGCATGACTGATTGCCAAAGTAGTTATTAATTATTCAGGGCACTCAGAACAAAGCAGCTCCAGTTAAAGTTGAAGCTGGGGGTGACTGTATTCCCCGTCTTTTTTGGCATATGGTAGCATGTCATTTGTCATCAAAGATCATGCCAAAGATCTTTGCAAAGAACAGACTTAACCCTCTTCTATGCAAGTGAAGATGAAGAGGAAAATCCAAGAAGCTGCATAAAGACTGACCTGGTTTAAAAGTGATGTGGCAGGTGTTTTGTGATTTTGGTGCAGTACACGTATGGCTACCTGGATTTCAATCCAAGAGGGGTTTGGGTTTTTTTTTGATGCAGAGATGCTGTTAATAGTTCTCTTGCTATTAACAGTAATGAAGAATAAATCTGATACTGTGCAGATAATCTGTTCAGGGCTATCTAATAATTGTTCCTTTATTTCACCCAAATTGCTCTTTTAGGGTTGAGCATGTTAATTTTGTTTGTGGAAACTTTTTAATGGAGCTTTTTTAATGGAAAAGACAAATAAAATCTAAATACTAATAGAAGTGCTTACTAACAGAATAGAGAAACGAAAGCTCTTACCTAACATTCCCTTCCTTTCAAAAGTCCACAGATTTCACATATATCAGGTGTGTATCTCACATGTCAGTACCAAAGCCTGAGAGGCTTAACTCTGGCTGCAATAACTAATAATCCATCCAGAAACATCATAAAGGACATTATTGATCTCCTAAACAAAGGTTTTTCTACACTCTCTTAAGAAGTAATTAAAAGATTTTGGAAATAACACAATTTCAGGGTTGTTTAAGCCAAGGTGGTTTGAAGCAGTAGGAGAGTGTACAAGTGTTATTTAGCACTTTGCAATGCCACGTGAAGTGAAAAAGGACTGTGAAAATCCTTCATATGATGGGAAGGACTTTTAAATGAAAATTCAGAGTTTCCAGTGATTAGGTATAGTGAAACCTAAGCCTGGATAAATCAAAAAAGCTACTAAAGATGTTCCTTTTTTTTTTTTTTTTTTTTTTTTTTTTTTTTTTTTTTTTTTTTTTTTTGTGTAGCACAAAGTAAATTGTATATCAGAGAGGTTTTTGGACTAATTATTTCCTTGAAGAATTAATTTTGCATTAAATTTGTCCTTGAGGTCTAAAGAGAAGTTCCTTTAAAATTTCTTAAATGAGACATTAAATATCACCCCAAAATACATAGATAGGAGTGACATGCTACAGGTTAATCAAAGAACTACAAAAATTACGAAACTGAGGATGGCTATTATCCATGGGACTACAATGAGAGGAGAAGCAGAAAGAATCTCTGAAGGATATTTGCTAATAAAATCAACATATCTTGTTTTCCTGTGACCATATCTCATTCTGTCACTTAGACATCATAGAAAATTTTAAAATCTGTATTTCTGAAGTAGACTCACAGAGAGACGGGCTTAGATATACCATTTCTTTTGTATTTTCCTGATAGTTTTACAGTAGCTCAGGCTGAAACCAATGAGAAATCATTTCACTGACTTT